AAAAATTAATCAAAAAATAATGTTTATAATTTTATCAACTAAATTTTTAATGTATTTTTTGTCTTACCGTTACATAAATTTAACCAACTCCTCTTATACACAGTATACCACAAAAAGCAATTTTCCTTCATAATTCTGTTGTCGAACTCTTTTTTAGTCAGCTCATCTTTCGTTGTCGAAATGTTTTGTTTAATCTTAAGCCATTAGTCAATAAATGCGATAAATTGAAATTGACGTTTGACAGCTGCACCCACTGCGCAGTCGCAGCATTGTAATACAATAGCTTCAAAGAAGTTGTTACACATACAACATGAATATACACACATACATGTACACATAGAGAAAATATTTCTATGATGCCTATAAAAGCTGATAACAAATTCTACAGAATTCTTTGAGAGATTGTGGAAGTAGGAGCTCTACACTTTTCAGTAGCGGGTGAAGTTTTTATATAGGAGAAATAAAGGAATGAATTTGATTTAATGATAAGCAGTACCAATTATTTCAAACGTATTGTACACAAATGTACACACTATTTACTTATAAGCCTCTGCATAAATGAAACAAACTTTCTTCTAAATATCGTAAAAAACTGTCCTGCTTTCGTAATGACGTTTGCGGTAAAACGCATTCCAAAAAAAAAAAATATTTTTTTTTTAAATAATTAAAATAAAATAAATAGTTTTTGTCTGTTTTTACTACGTAAAAATTATTAGACGTTGAAAAAAAATAATCTGCCTGCCCCACTGTAMTGTGCAGCAATAAATGTATGTCTCTGCAACATTCTTCATTATTTCTCGTGTTTTTAGTTTAATCAGTACAATGATCTGTGATCGAGAAAAAGTGGAAAATTTTGGTCGTATTTTCTATAAAATGAAATAATTTTTTTTTTTTTTAACAATATCTTAATATAACAAGTACTTAAAAGTCTCAAAACTTTTTTTTGGCGAATTTATTTATTTTTTATTCAACATAGTTCCCTTCAATGGTGATAGACCGATTATAGTGACCCTCCAAATTTTCGATACCAATTTTGTAGTACGATTTCTTCTTTGCTTCAAAATAAGCGACCTCAGTTTTGGCGACCACCTCTTCATTTGACAAAAAAAAATTTCGCGCATTCTTGTGAGATCTGAGAAGAAGAAAAAGTTCCCGGGGCCAGAATTGAGGAATACAGTGGATGCGGAAACAATTTGAAGTCCAATCCATGGACTTTTATCATCGCTTTCACAGACTTGTGACACGGTGCATTGTCTTGGTGAAACATCACTTTCTTTTTACTAAAATCTGGACATTTTGCCTCGGTTTCGTCCTTCAAACGGTCCAATAACTTTATGTAGTAGTCGCTGTTGATGGTTTTTACCTTTTAAAGCTAGTCAAAAAAAACCGGGTTCATCGTGTAGCGTCTTCTCGGATGACTATCGCTTGGACTTCGGAGTGAAAACATGTTTTATCCATTGTTACATACCGACGAAAACTCGGGATTATTACGCTTGAACGTCACCAAACTTTGCTCCGAATCATCAACTCGTAGTTGTTTGTTAATCTTCCTGATAATTAAGAAACTAACTAAGCAGACGCGTGTATAGTCTTTGAAAGTTAAGGCTGTAAAGCTTCATGTCGAGCAAGCCATTAAAAACTGAGGTCAAGAAAGAAGAGCGGCTCCACAAATATCAATTTCCATAATTATAAAGTGGAATGGCTACAAGGGTTAAAACATCGAACAACTTATAGGCCTATAACGATCAAAATAATACAATAATCAAAATAATTACATAGACTAATTCAATGTTTAATCATCAAATTTACCGAACACTTTTTGCATACAACTATTTCTTATTCTATAAGTAAAGTAATAAAAACAGTCACACCCTAATGAACGGCTTACACATATTTTTATAAACGCATTCACAACACAAAAAGCTAATAACCTCTGCCTAATTGGTGTAAACAAAAAACTGTCGCGTTGCATTCTCCGCTAAGAGCGCCTAACTCGTACAATGACTTCTGAACAAACGCGCTTAAATAAGCACCAGCGCCACACAAACAGCAAAAGTGTTTGACAAAACAAACAAATGCGAAAAAATTATAAATAGAAGCAAGGCAAATATATAACAAATATAATATATTCATATGTAGTTCTCTGTCAAGGTCAAATGCAAATAACGCGAACAAGTCACACGTCTGTGCGGACAGACAGATAATTCTCACGCGTTTTTGTTTCTAACACGTATTTTGTTTAGCTAAGTGTTATTGTTGTTGTTTCTATTTTTTTTTATCTTATTTACTCCGCTTATCAGGTGCTTAACGGAAAAATTTGTTGTTATCATTTCATAGCCGAGTCGGCTATTTCTTATCATAAACAAGATTCTTCTTTCTCTCTTCAATACAATTTCTATTGATGATTGTTCTACATTTGCCGAAGTATTAAGGCAAGCAGTTGGCTGGTTCTGTTGCGCTGACAAACCGCGGCAATTATTTGTACTCATATCCGCATGTAATGAACGAAACTGTAATAAAAGTGGTAGGGTTGCCAATTAGAAATAAAAACAATAATTAACAATGAAATATATTATATCAAATATAATTTTCATTAATTAAATAAGAAAGAATAACATTTTTAAAGAAAACTTTTATAAGAATTTAAAAGAAGATCCTTCTATAAAGGCTCTGCTTGAAATTGAGGTTATGTTTCGTGTTTTTAAGTCGGCATAAAATAATATGCGGTCATGTGACATGTGAGTTTTTATCGATATTTACATAAAAATATTTTTTTTTATTTAGAAGACAGGCACTCTTATGAATTTACTGCATTTTTAGTTTTGAAAATGTTACATAAATCTAAATATTTGGCTCTGCTACTATAAGAAACCCTTAATCTATCAAATCACTAGCTAGAGACCTACTAATTACCACACATCTGGCAACCCTGTCAACGTGTCCACCGAACTTCTTAGCAATGCGCAAATGTCGAACGCTACCGATAAGCCCGGCAAATTTCATTATTACATATGTTACATATGTACGCACATACATATGTATATGTTAATATAAGACCAATCCGTATTTGTAAGCAACATTGTTGTAAGTGTAATCAAACGACTGAACTTTCGTGGGTTGTTAGCTGCAGCCATTTGGACAGTTCACACTGCAACTTGCAGTAAAACAGACGTTTAATTTCCAATTCGGTTGAGTTGTATCAAGCTTTTGAAAAATTTAGCTGCGATAAAGTGTATTACAAGAGGCAGCCAGCAATTACGTAAAAGGTGAAGTTAATCAAGGCAAAATTTGTTAAGACAGCAAAGTGTTTTGTATTGCACAAAATTTGATTTGTTATTATGCAAATAAGTATTTAATATGGTGGAATGTAAGCAGTAATAAGCCTAATGAAAATGTTGTTATAAAAAAGAAACAATACAAAAAGAAAATACAAATTCAAGGCAATGAAATACAGAATTAATTAACAAAAAAATAATTAATTATGAAATTTAAATTAAAAAAA